CATCTGTCTTGCCATCTCCAAATCCTTCTCCTGACGCAACGCAGGAGGCTTCCCAGTGCCCTCCCCTGCCTGCTCGCCTCGGCTCCTCATCGCATTCTGTCTTGCATTTGCTGGACTATGTCAATTCCATTGTTTCAAGTCTCTCTCCACAGGGACAGCGTCGTGGCTCAGGGCCTGGCACAAGGCTTGCACTTGCCTGGGCATGTGTGGCCTTGAAATGAATGTACCTTTCTCCTGTGTATTTGTCTCACCTGGACAAAGTCCAAAGTACCTGAGATATGGTCTATAGGAATCCATGAATCTAAGCAAGCGTGTTCATTGTGCATACATACCACATCTTCTGTATCCGATCGTTTACCGGGCAGTAAACAACACTGCAATGAACACAGAGTGCATATATCTTTTTGAATTAGTGCTTTGGATTTCTTCAGATAACTACCCAGAAGTGAGTAGCTGGGTCATACGGTAGGTTCTATTTTTAATTTTTTGAGGAACCTCCATACTGCTCTCCACAGGGCTGCACCCATTTACATTCCCATCAACAGCATATTGATCAACAGTTTCCCTTTTCTCCACGCCCTCACCAGCAGTTGTCATTTATTGATTTATTAATGATAGTCCTTCTGACAGGGCAAGTTATATAAATGTCTGAGCACTATGTTGTACACCTGAAACTAATACAATACTGTATGCCAACTGTAATTTAAGAATTTTTTAAATTATATAAAAAGAGGAAGTGCATCCAGCTCAACCAATACTGCTTTCCATAGTGGCTGCACCAATTTACAACTGCACCAACACTGCGCTGGGCTCCCTTTTCTCTCCATCTTTGCCAACACTGAACTCTTGTCTCTCTGCTGACAGCCATTCTAACAGGTGTGAGGTGATTCCCCCGTGATTGTAATTTGTACTCCCTGGTGATTAGGGAGCTGGGGCGCCTTTTCATGTACCTGCAAACCATCTGTGTATCTTCTTGAAAAAATGTCTATTTGGGTCCTTTGCCCTTTGGTTTCATCAGCTTATTTGCTTTCTTGCTATTGAGCTGTATGAGCTCTCTATGTACTTTGGAGAGTAACTCCTTGTCAAACCCATGGTTGTAGCAAAATGCAAAGGCAACCAGTGGGTAGTCTTTGTGACTGCTTCCCCCTTGGTCTGCGGAGAGGTGAGTGACTGGTCACACCCAGCAGGCCATGGAGAGGTGGTCAGGGCATGAGTGCTTGTGCAATGCCAATCCAGCAACAATGTCAAACGGGCCAAGAAGGGGAGTCCCGAGACAATGGCTGGCAGCACAGTGGTCAGTGCACACGACTAAGGCGACAGAGACCCCTAATGGAAATCAACTAATGAACACTGAGTGGCTGATGCCAGGTCAATTCCATTCATATACACCATCGTCTTTAGGTCTAAAAACCAGCCTGTGTTAGGGCAGCGTTATCCTCCCCAACGACAGGTCATCCCCAACCCGGCTCATGCAAAGCACAGACTTAAGGCCAAGGCCAGGTGGGAACTCCAAGCCCAGCACCTTTCCACAGCGCCATAATCCCTTCCGGCCGTAAGACTAACAAAGCAGAGAAGAGACCAGCCTTCCTGGGCTCAGGGCATGGTCTCCCTCCTTTGTCCCCTCCCCAGCCTCCATTGTAAGACCTCTGAGCATCATTCTTATCAGTAAAATCCTACGTGCTGACCTTGGCTACCTCGCATTGTTGCTCTAATAGGAATGCTGTACGGAATGGAGTCTTAGCAAACCTGAGAGGGTTCTTGCACTCATCCATCCAGGAAAGGCTTGCTGAGTAACCACCAGGGGCCCGCAGCCTGCTGGGACCGAGGATGCTAAGGAACACACAGTCCCTGCTCCCAAGCAGCTCTCAGTTCAAGGGGGAGATGAACAGGCAGATGGATCCAATGCATCGTGCAAAATCCTAGGGCTGGGGATGCTGCCAAAAGGTGTGGGGGGGGGCATTCCAGCTCAGTCTGCAGGGTCAGGGGAAACTTCTCCCAGAGGTTCCCCCAGAGCTGGGCCAAGTGAGCAGCCAGGAGCAAGGGGGGGGCGGGGGGGAACGGGAATTTAAGGTAAAGGGGTGGGGTCTTTGGTGTCCACATTTGCTGTATTCTACCTTTACAATAGAGCAGCGGTTCTCAACCTATGGGTCGCGACCCCTTTGGGGTCGAACAACCCTTTCACAGGTGTTGCCTAAGACCATCGGAAAACACATATATAATTACATATTGTTTTGTGATCAATCACTATGCTTTAATTATGTTCAATTTGTAACAATGAAATTGGAGGTCATCATAACATGAGGAATTATATTAAAGGGTCGCGGCATTAGGAAGGTTGAGAACCACTGCAATAGAGGGAAGAAAATCGCATCTCATGAGTCTGGTTCATTTAAAAACAAACAAACAAACCACGCACTAGACTGTGAGCCCAGAGTCAGCCCAATTTCCTGGCCCCCTCACACCATTAGCCACAGCCCAGACAGGATAATGGATGGTTCGAAGCATCCATGGATGGCTTCAGTGTCTTGCAAAATCCTGAATCATCAATGAAAGGTTCAATTTTGTTCAACTGACTGGACTTCCTCCTAAGCTGGAGGATGTACAAGTCACCCACTCACTACTTAACCTGCGACACCCTCTGAACCCAGCCCCACACGGCTTTCCTGCACCATCTGAACTAACCTGAATCCATATTCCCACCCCCAGCCCATCCCACATCCCCTAATTCTGAGCAGCCCCTGTTTTCATTCAAAGTCCATTTCTAGTCATTTGCCAACTGGGAGCTGGGAAGGGGTCAGAGGCATTACAGGGAGGTAAGAGTCCTGTGTTACCAAGGGGGCAGGGGCACCCAGTGACACCCAGTGAAAATACTAAGCGTCCTGTCATTGTTGGCAGAGGGTCAGAGCGGGGTTCCAGGCTCAGAAACAGCCCTGACCCACTGCATTCAGATGTGAGCTCGGGCACCATTACTGTGGGATTTTGGACAGGTGGTTTTCTCCCTGGAAGGTTTCATATTCTCATCTACAAATGTAGGTAAGTCCCACCTCACAGGTCCATGGTGATCATTTAAAAGTACCTGGCTGCATCGCTAGGTATCCAACTGTTCCTCTCCCACAGTCTCATGTTTTCCTGGAACCTTCTGGGAAACTGAGGGTACAGGTGTTGGCATTCTCACACCTGCTTCTGGGTGATGGATAATTCTAAGGAAGGATCATCGAGACTCTGGCAATCACAGGCCTCAGCTACCCCTTCCCCAGACTGGGCAAGGCAGGCCTGGGGTGTGGCTGGAAAAGGTGGGAGAAGAAAGACTAAGCACACAAGCTCCAGGGGGGACCCCCCCCCCCGTTTGGAAGTTAGCTAATAAGTACTGAACCCCATTTATGTGTAAAAGAACATGTGAGTCTGTGTATGTTTGTGTGCACTCAAATAACTCGTGCCTTTTTATCATCGCATATTCCAGAATTAACTGCAGTTCAATTTCACGAAATCCAGTGCTAGAGACAGCGAGATGAATGCATTTTTAATCCCTTTTTACCACCTGAAGAAAGCAAATGGAAAAGCAATAACTACTAACCCTTCTCTCGACCGCTTATACCTGCAAATATATGAGGACGCCAAAGGCTAGGCCACCCTAAACCCATGCTCCTGGCTGGATGCCCCCTCCCTCCTGCTGGTACCTCAGTTTCCAGGGAGGCCACCTCTCCAGGCTTCAGTAATCTCTTTAAAGAAACCTGTTGCCAACTCAGAGGTTCTGTGACAACAACCCCACCTGGTGGCCAAATCTGGGAAAGCATTCCAACCCAGGAAGATTGGCAGGTAGTGTAACTCCAGGCTTTCTGAACTCCCTTGGGGCCCCATCAATCATGGAGGAGGGCAGAGACGAATATCCAGAGCCAAACGCTTATAGGGGGTCAAGGTCATAGCCAGTTCTCCACCCAAACCCCAGTAATGTACTCGTAAGAAGCAGCCATCAGGATGACTAAGCCTCAGACAGGAGGCAAGGGGAGGCAAGGGGTGATGTGCCCTGCCAGCTCAGAGGTGTCAGCCTACAGCCCTGATCTCCCCTCCTGGGGGAGGAGTCACCTCTCCCATCCTCTCCCTCTCCCCAAACACAGGAGGATTTTCTAGCCAGAGTGTGGGGTGCACAGGCATTTACCTCCTGACTGCAGGGAGCCTTCCCTGCGCCCAGGGGCACACCTCCAGCCCAGGCCCCTCTACACACACCTCCACCGTGTTCCTGCCCAGCCAAAGCAGGAGAACGGGCAGCAGTGGAGGCAGAGGGGAGTTCAGCGCCAAGTCAGGGAGATGTCTCAGCCAAAATGAGCCTCAGGGCACTCCCCCTCCGGCACTGGTAAGCCCCAGCCTCTCAGTCTAGGCATCGCGCCTGAGACACTCTTATTAACCTCCCTAAAAAGAACTCAAAGACATGCACTTTGACAGTCCAAGTCCCCAGTTACAGCAATGCCAGGACCTTTTCTAGACCAGGATGCAGCCCTAAGAAGGGGAGTACATGCAAGCAACACACACACACACACACACACACACACACACACACACACACCACTGTGGGCAACTCCCATCCCAACTCCAGGATGCATCCTCCAAACTCAGTAGCGATCCCAAGAGAAAGGACCAGCCCCAAGCAACACAGCGGACAAGGGAGGAGCCGCTTTATCCTGCTCAACCTCCACATTCGCTGGGAAAATCACATAATTCTTTCCAGCTTGGATACCAGCCTCCGGAGAAGGTGTCATCAATGCGCAAACACGCCAATCCAAGCTCCAAACGGTCTGAGAGACCACGCTTGGACCTTTTTTAAGCCTTGGGGTCCGACCCCCAGAGAGTGGTTAATGGACACACAGACCAAACCGGCAGACACGCGCACTGGGGGCAGGCTGGTCTCCAATGCTATGTCAAGCACCCGGTCCTCATCTCAGGCCTCCAGCCCGAACTCCAACCTGCGCCGCCGCCCAGAGGCGCCCCGAACGCCAGGTACTCACACGAGCGCGTGGTAGAGCAGCGCCCAGCCCCGCGGTCTCTCCAGGGCGTCGTAGATCAAAGTTTGGATGCGCCGGTACTTGGCGTTGTTCCTCTTCACAGGGCGGCTCAGGGGGGTCTTGGCCAGGAGCCCGATGCCCTGCGGGGTCCTCCGCGGCCCCTCGTCACGGCCACCGCCCTCCAGCAGCAGGGTCCCATCTCCGTTCCGGC